AGCTAGACTGCAAGCCATTATTTCAAAATAATGGTGAGCTGGAGAACTTCTTACTCTGACTTCCCTTACTCCTTGTGAAATGAGGGTGACAGGAGTCAAAGGAAGAGTATTCTACCTTTGGCTTCCTGTTGTGTAAACAGCACCAAAAGCTGAATTAAGCTATTTCGACTTCAGCTACTCAATTGACGTAGCTGAAGTTCCATAGCTTAATTTGACCTTTGCCATGCTGTGTAAACGTGCCCTTAAAAAAAAGGTTTTGAGGGCATGATCTTTTGTAAGTTAATGGAATTTCTACCAGCAAGCCCTAACAATGATTACCCTTAATTGACCTATTTTTACATGGTTGTTATTTAAAATAATTGAGATACACTATCTAGAACACATCTAAATATCCTATTTATTTGTATAACTGTGACCGCATGATTGAAATGACAATGAAACGCCTCTTCAGATGTATACAAGGCTTAGAATAAACATACCCAATTAACTAACATTGTTTTCCAAAGCTATGTATAAAATTATTGTCCAAAGTCATTTTGTATAGAAAGATCCATACTGCTGGGAATATTTTTTAATTCACTGAGGAAAAAATCCTTATCCTGCAAACTTTTATTTACATGCGGATCATTGGCTCACATGGTTTGTCCCATTAGGTTGATGGAAGAAGGGGTAATCAAAAAGGCTTGTATGATCAGGCTAAAACAAAGTGACAATCATTGAACATCTGCATCATGTAGGTATGTTGAAAGTTTACCTACAGAAAATATGATCTCCTATGATAGATACTTTTTCTAGTATGTATACTAAACAACCTAGCTACTGTATTTCAATAAATGTATCACTGAAATTACATGATGTGGGTTGCTGAACTGAGAACTATGAGCCAGGAGGTCCCTTTTTGCCCATTTTCCAATGTGTACTGATTGATTAGCAGGGGGAAAGAACATTCCGATTTTAAACAATTTTGCTCTTGGTGAAGGCAGTGGGAGCTTCTCTATTATTTTAACAGGGAGCAAACATACGGTGAAGACATGTACCCAGTAACAAAGACTCCTGTGGAAACCCACAAATGTCAGTAGGAGAATGGACAGAGACAATTTCCTTATCCATGTGGAATGGGCCATATTTCATAAGTAAGGAGTACTAAAGTAAATGTGAATACTACTGGAGGCTTGGAATATCTAATATGAGTAAAGTGTTTGGTCCCTATTACTAGAGAGTTGTTGTGACCCTCCCCACTCCATATTTTGGTTTCCTAAGACTTTGCATTGTAAAAAATGTTTGCAATCTTTTCTGTGAGCAGCTCTATCGCTTGCATTGTTTAAAGAGGGCCTTTGATGAAATTCATGAGGGAGAAACCCCTGGGAGCAGAGACGTGCCTTTTCATTGTCACAGGAAATTCCGTTCAGCTGTGGCTGAGAAATAAGCTTCTGAAAATCACAACTACTCTTCTATGACTTGTGCTGTCAGTAAAATGTGGACAGCATGCCAAAATAATAATAGAATTAACTTTCTAATATAGGCTCGATCCCATGTCATGACCAAAGCAGCAGCAGATAAAACAGGAGTGAGGGGAGAGAGAACCCAACTTTTCTCCTTTCTAAAACCCCTTCCCTCTTCTTCTCCCAGCATTACCACATGAGCAAGGTGTTTCCTTCACCCCCTGAAGGTTGAAAAGATAACAGTTGTTCCATGCTCATTGCAATTGCTTCATTTTCCTTAGCACATGACTCTTTATTTCATGGTGGATATTATTTGATAAAGGGAATATCAATCACTACTGAAAAATATGAGAAATGCTTTTTGTCTTAATTATTGTAGTGCATTTATGGTGCTAATATTGTAACTACCTCTCTCTTTACACTGAAATGTATGAATCTGGCCTGCTAGTAAATGAAGGGAAAAACTGGTTCCAAAACTATAAACTAGCTTGCTGTTTTGCTTTTAAAGAGACATCTCTTTTGGAAACATATTTTAATCTTCTGCACATTCCAGAATATATAGTAGAGATAAAGGTGCCTTAAAACCATCACTGCTAAAAATAATTAATCAAGAGAGATAATGGAGTTATAGAAGAATCTTAGGGAATTTCAGACATTTCAGACATTGGACAGATAACTAAAAAATTCATTGCACAACTTTTTTGTCACAGTGTGATTTTTAGGCCTTGAGGCATGAAGATTTAAAAGTCTGAATAAAAAAAGGTAAAAAAGCGCTCCTTCTGACATCATAGAAATGTCATAAGCAACTCTGAGCTAAAAATGAGCAAAGGATATCACCGGATTTTTATTAATTAATTAATTTGGACCCTGTCAGAGGTTCAAAACCTTTACACAGGGGAGTTGTTTAACAGCTATGGGGAGCAGCAGGAGGAGGCAGACTCCTGTAACTGAACTTTTATTTAATATAGTCTAATGCCCTAGTCTGGACCTTTCCCACCTTCACTAGTCAGATTTCTCTCTCAAGACTCTGTGATAGCTGCAGAAGTTGGCACAGCAGTAGGGAAGAAGAGACAAGGTTCTGGCTACTCAATGGACTGCTAAAATCAAACTAGAAAGGCCCATAGTTAGAATTTGGCGTTTGGGCACTTCTTATTCCAGCTTGCTGGATAACACTGGCTAGGGGCTCTCCCTGTCCTACTATGAGTTTCCTTAGATGACAGGAAGAGACAGGGTGAAGAAATTACATTTAATGTTTACAAAATCCAAGGCAATAGAAAAATTTCAATTAGTTTTTTTTTTTTTTTAAGAATACAGTATCAAGTGGAATAATGGAGAAAGTAAGGAAACTTGCCCCTGCAGGTCAAACCATGGGCTAGTGCAGAGCTCCTTAAAAGTGAAATGGAGTAGGAACAGATTAGCAACAAATTGACAATTATAAACACAAGTCATCATAAGTCTGGTCAATTTTCATCAGTTTCACATTTAGCTTCTCATGCTCTAGCATCTGTGGATAATCATCCTGTTGGGTAGTTTGTCTCGAGTCCTGAAAAGAGTCAGTTTATGTGACTTAGGACAGGATGTAAGCTTTCAGTTTCCAGACTCCCGTGTGTGAGTACCTCCCCTCCCCCAAAGCTGACCATCCCTTTTCAGTGATTAAGTTGAACTAACTGTACAGGCAGTCCCCAGGTTACATGGATCCGACTTACATAGGATCCCTACTTACAAACGGGGTGAGGCAACCCCGCACTAGCTGCTTCCCCCCAGCAGACCAGGGAGAAGCGAAGCTAGCGCTCCGCCCCCAGGAGACCAGGGAGACGCGGAGTGGCTTTTCTCAGCAGATACCTCAGCTTGAGAATAAAGGACTGAGGGAAGTGAGGTGTGGGAGAATAAAACTGAGCTCTGGAGAAATGTTTGGCTAGTGTTTCCCCTACAATATGTACCAGTTCCGACTTACATACAAATTCAACTTAAGAACAAACCTACAGTCCCTATCTTGTACGTAACCCGGGGACTGCCTGTATTACAAAGAGTACAAATAGTGAGAAATTTGTCTAATTCCCCAATTTTAGTGATCTGAGGTGCTAGTAACACCTCAAATGGTGTGCTTTTTTAAACCACAGCCATATCATGCTCCTCCAAGTCACATAAGTAGTCCCACTGGCTTTTATTACAAATAGATAGTAGAGAGAATTGACTGAATTAGGATAAAAGATTTAAGGCCAAGTTTTCAAAAGGATTCAGGATTCCCTGGTTGTTGAACACTTTTGAAACTGTAGGCACTTCATTAAAGTATATGAATATGAGCTTAGCTGAATACAAAATGTGATCCTGTAGGTACTGTATAAAATTAAAACCATTATAATTATTTAACAATGTGCATCATGCAGCTCATAAAGTTGCAATTCTGGGTCATATTCTGCATACCTTAATGGAGCTATTTGCCTAAGGACTACTCGTATGAAAAAGATTTTGCAGGAATTGGCATCTATATAGTAAGAATTCTTTCAGTGGTGACAGAAATGTATTGTAATTGCAGATACAACAAATTAAAAAGAACACAGAACTTTAAGGAACATTTGCATTGTACTGTGGTTAGGAAAGAACTTCTCAAAGTATCAAACAATAATCATCATCATCATTCAGAGACCAAATATAAACAGGACAAAAGTGTACTACGCAGCTTTGCTGAGTTTGTAATGGGAATGACTAGCAAAGAAAGGAGCGACTGCAGATTAAGCCTTCTGTATCAGTAAACAATATAGAAAAGAAACTATTGTAATCCATTTTTAAAAATGTAACAATGCAGAATATGAAAATAAAAATTTAAAAAATCCCTAAATATTCAAGGTTTATTTTTTGGAGAGAGAAGCAATTATTTTAAGTTATCACCCAAAAGAAAGAGGAAAAGCAAATATGACAGTTTTATATCCAACTTGTCCCTCTATTACTACAAAGAAATACAGACCCATGCTAGGATCATTTCTCACTTCAAATTAAAACCAATCTGTATTTTCAGTTATGTAAATATGTATAAGAGACTAAGGTGGATGTCTTTTACTAGACCAACTTCTTCTGAAGAACTCTGCATATTTCAAAAGTTAGTCTGTTTCCTCTACAGAAACTAGTATAAAACAAAGATATTACTTCACCCATCATATGTCTCTCATATCCTGAAACTAACATCACTACAGCAACATTGCAAATAATATATACAAGGCATTCCACTCAATGACTATACAGACAAAAGGCAGACCAAAATAGTTGTTTAGAAATGCAGCTTTCAAGGAGATTGGGAGTCAGAATCAGGTGGCTGTTTTAGTAGTCTAAAACCCTGGCTGGGATGATTTAGTTGGGATTAGTCCTGCTTTTTGCAGGGGGTTGGACTAGATGGCCTCCTGAGATCTCTTCCAACCCTAGGATTCTGTGACCTGATCCTGGTTCCTTGACACATACAAGAACTGTAGGATAAGCTTAATTAAACTCTGCCAAAGGAAAGCTA